GGTTTTGCCCGCTACATTGGAGAAAACTAGGACTGTCTGCTTCCATAAAGATTTGTAGTCTTGTAAACCTTTTGTTAAAAGGATCTCTGGTAGCATAGTGGTTACGAATCAGGCTGTTAACCTCAAGGTCGGCAGTTCTAAACTACCAGCTGTTCCGCAGGAGAAAGATGCGACTTTCTACTCCCGTAAAGATTTGCAGCCTCGGAAACCCTGTGCAGGGTCACTATGAGTCGGAACCTACTCCACGGTACTTAACAACAATAACAAAACCCTTTGTTATTGTTAAGTGCCATGAATTGGTTTCAACTCATAATGACCCTGTGTAGGGTTTCCAAGGAGCAGCTGGTGGGTTTGAACTGCGGACCTTGAAGTTAGCAGTGCAATGCTTATCCTGCTGTACCCCACCAAAAGTTCTATTCTGTCCTAGAGGGTGGCTATGATTCAGAATTGACGCAACAGCAGTGACTTTGGGTTTTTGCTAATTATGGCTGCTTTGTTTTAGTATTATCTCCATTGCCCTATTCATAATTAGTCAGTCTATTTGGTTTTTACTTTTGTGTATGTGTGAGTGTGTGTTTTATAGGTGAGTATATGGAGTTCTGGTGTACTGCCATAGGTTAAGCACTCGACCTTAAAGTCCATTTAAACCACAATGTTGGTGGTTCAAACTCACCAGCGGCTCCTCAGAAACCCTATACAGGGTCACTATGAGTTGGAACCAAGTCTATGGCACTTAACAACAAAAATAGAGTTTAGCAAAAAAAAAGTAAAAGAGAATGTTTGAAGGGTTTAATATCAAGTAAAAAATCACAGTATTTTAGAGATGATTGTTTAAAATAATGATAATGAAGTTACTATCACATACATAATGCAGTTTATGACAGTAAAAGAAAATCCCTTCCTAATTTAATATCATTGCCTGAAATGATAGAATAATATTATTCATTGCCTGAAAGAAAAAATAGTCTTGCTCTCAAATACAGTTGAGGGGGCTTCAAAATTTGATTCCAATTTCCATGGAAATATGTATTTTTTCATTAACTTTCAAAGCCCCCTTATTTACTTTTTTTTTTTTTTTTGCATAAGATTTTTCTTCCGAGATTTTGCATTCTCTGCTAGGGAAAAATAATCCTTGATTGTAGTGATTCTTCACCATAAAGATTCCTTTTTGTTTCCTCTTAACTGGACAAAAAAATACTTGATGTTTTGAAGGACATGAATCAGAAAATACTCATGATATCATATTGATCTTCAAAACAGGCAATGTGACAAACCAATGTGAAATTATCTTTTTACTTAGAATAGCATAGGAAATGAATCAACCTTAATAGAATATATTTCTTAAACCTATAAATTTGGCATTCAATCATTTCAATTAGCAATCATGGTAATAAACAATGAATAAGTAGTGTTTTAGTAATGAATTAATATTTTAGTCTGAATTTTCTTAAAATCGAAACTATTATATGCTTTGTCCCTTCTTATTTTTTGGTGAAAATTGGCTATAAAAGATCTCAAAAAGCACTGTCTAGGACACTGGAACATGAGTAATATCAAAAGCAACAGGTATTGTTTCCCATAGAGTTTTCAATTCTACTTATATTAATCAAAAATAAACGCAAAGTACAGACATTTTTCACTTGCTGCTGTTGTCAAGTATTGCGAGAGTCAGTTTCACTGACCTGCGGTCTAGTGCTTATTCTACGGCACCACACCAGAACTCTCATCCTCACTTACCTACTCGGCTGTGTTTACACAGACCCTCCCATCTCAATCTTCTTTAGATTTCTATTTTTCTTGAGCTTACTTCCAATCCATTTATTTCAATGCTTTCTCATTGATGAAAGATGAGAAAATAAACCATGGGTCTTGGTGGTGTTGCTAAATGCTGGCAAGTCAGTTCTGACTCATAGTGACCCTGCATAGGTTTTTTGAGGAGTGACTGGTGGGGTTAAAACTGCTGACCTTTGGGTTAGCAGTCTAGTGCATATCCTACAGCACCCCACCAGGAGTCCTGGTTGTTGTTGTTGTGAAGTGCTGTCGAGTTGGTCCCGACCCATAGCGACCCTATATAGGATTTCCGAGGAGCAGCTGGTGAGCTTGAACCTCCGACCTTGCAGTTCAAATGGCTCATTAACCCACAGCGCCACACCAGGACTCCAGAGTCCTGTTGTTGTTGTTGTTGTTGTTGTTGTTAAGTGCCTTCGAGTCGGTTCCGACGCTGTACAGGGTTTCCGAGGGTGTAAATCTTTACGGGAGTAGAAAGCCTCATCTTTCTCCCACGGAGCAGCTGGTAGTTTCGAACCGCTGACCTTAAGGTTCGCAGCCTGATTCGTAATCACTACGCTACCGGTGCTCCTTAGTTCTCATTAAAAGGGAAACTAGGAGGAGTTAAGTAAATCAGGGTTTATTATTTTTCTATTTTCAATGGTTGCCATTTTTCCATCCTGTTTTTAATATTAAGGAAAAGCTGGTGAGCATTTTGTTAAACTGTTTTCTAAAAAATGTTATCAGGATGGACCAGAGCCAGTCCTAGAGAAGGACATCATGTTTGGTAAGCGGAGGGTCAGCAAAAGAGAGGAACACCTCCAACGAGATGGATTTGCACAGTGGCAACAACAATATGAGCCTTGAGCTTGGCAAACAATTTTAAGGATCGTGCAGAATCTGGCAGTGTTTCAGTCTATTATGCATAGGGTCACTATGAGTCGTAACCAACTCCTTGACACCTAATAACAACAACCACATTTTAAAAATATATATGTTTTTGAAAGTGTTTTGTTGTTGTTGTAGGATGAGTGCTTTGTCTTGCTTTTACATTAAATGTATATACAAGGTACAGTGAGTAAACACACTGTAAGAAACTCTGGTAGCGTAGTGGTTATGAATCGGGCTGTGAACCTCAGAGCCAGCAGTACAAAACTACCAGTTGTTCAATGGAAGAAAGATGAAGCTTTCTGCTCCTGTACAGCCTCAGAAACCCTGTACAGGGTCACTATGAGTTAGAACCGATTCCATGGTACATAACCACCACCACCACCACCACCATTTATTCAGTCAGTATTCATTGTCTTGACAGGTATTTCAATTAATTAAATCCTCTTTGTCTGAGGTTATTTATGAATTCAGTTTAATAACTAATTATGTAGAGTTTGTTGCTGTTTCAGTTATCAGCAACTTCCTTATTTAAAAACAAAACAGCCATATGGAACATATAACCAATAGCATTATATCTGTAAAAATTCTGAAAAACATGATACCTGTAGAGTAGCGTACTGCCAAAGGCCCAGTTGGTCTTTGGAACTTTCTAGATTTCATCCTATTTTAAATATTATCTATATGGGATTTTACAAAGTGTCAAGATAAATTACTGAAAAAGAAAATAGTACAATTTATCTACATAAAGCAAACAACTGGTCAATTTAATTCATTGTCTAATTTGTGCAGTTGTAAAATGTTGGCTTGGGGATGCTTTGTACATATGCATATGGTATTACATTCCCCAGAGTATTTGTAAATAGTGTGCTTTGCTTTGCTACTTGGTATTAACACATACATGGACAGAATATACGAAGTCAGTTTGTTAAAAATCCTTTCCAACTCAGAAAGAATTCACTGTGCATTATAAATTTTTATTCGTTTTTTTTTCCTGCAGTATAATAATCAGAGCTCTTATTTTTAAATAGCAATTTAAATAAGCTAATATATTAAGCAGGAGAAGTTAGAGCCATACAGTACAATTATTTAATAGTCATAATTTTTATTGTAATCATAGTCAATAAGTTATGAGTATATTCTTCCCTAAGATAACATTAAAAAATAATTTTAAAAAGTCTTGAACAAAACGATAAGCTAAGAATGAAATTAAAATAAATAAATAAATAAGTCCAGTAGCCTTTGTATCTATAATGATAAAGTCTGAAAAGGTTTTCATCTTTAAATTATTCAGGATGTCTAAATTTCTGCTGCCACAATATTTTTTCTCAAGTGGAATAAAAATGGCCTTTTTGCGCACATAGATCTAGCTGGTCCCTGGGTGGCTGATTCTAGAAAAGCAACAGGCTTTTTCCCCTCTGCCTTACAAGAAGCAACAGTTAGAAACTGTGACAACTGGAGAACTACTACCCACGCTGGTTAGAAACAACCAATAGACAAACCCCCAGCTAATATTTCAATCCATTTTGCAAAACCTTCAGAAAAGGGGTTTTCTGAAAACACGTAAAGAAAACACGTAAAAAGACTGCTGACCTCTTTGAAATGTAAAGATTGCGCTATAGTACTATCGCACCTCTCCCTTCCAGGGTTCCCTTAATCATCATGCTCTTTTGGCATTCTTAGGTTTCTAGATCAAAGCAAAGCAATTTTCCGACCCATTGTGTTTCTACGCAAACTTGCAAATGCAGTGAGACAAATCCATCGACCCCCTACAGGGAGCAATCCAAGTCTTTCCAGAAACAGCTTGAGCACTCTGTATTAGCAAGAAAACACGGTTCTAAGTCTGTTCCTCCAGCCAGAACTAGAGTCTGATACCCCACTGTGTGCTTGGTGGCGGGGACTGGGTCCGTCAGTCCGCCGTTGTACCCTGGGCAGTGCCTAGGAAGGAGGCGGCTACGGACCACTGTCCGGGGACCCCAAGGCAGGCCGCCTGACCGCCGGCAGGTGGTGCCCTCCTCCTCTGAACACAATAGGAAACCCGGCTAAAGTAGCGCTCAGTCTCCGCCCCACCCCATCAGCCAGCGCAACAGTCACGGTTCTTCCCAAAATAGTGTGGAGCACGTTTCCTCCGGAACACCGCAGTAGCCAGTGTGTGTCGAAAATACAAACGGAGGGGGGTGGGGGGGGAACGATGGTTGTATGCTCTTGAGAGGGGATCGCGCGCGGAGTGGGACATCGGGACCAGGGGCTAGGTGTGACCGCCAAGGAAATGCAGAGGGCATGGGGACGGGTCCATTTCGCATCTGCGTAAGCCCGACCGTCAGGCCCATGGCGAGGCCACTCACCATGTTCACTTCGGAGACCATGTCTATACTGGCAACATCGATCCGCATCCCGACGTCCACTGGGGGCCCTGCGGGGGAGGTTGGAGCACGTTTGGACAAATTCTCAGAGTGGTGGTGGGCTGGGGAGGGGCGGAGGGTTTCCCCGCGCTCCCTCCATCCCGAAAGCCCTCTCTTTCCCCATCCCACCACCCTATAGGGGACTGCTTGGGAAAACAGGTATAGACACTCGCGTGATGCAGTGACTGTGCAGAGGGTGTGTCGGGCCAGGAGAGGTCAGTTCAGCCTGGGGCTTCATCCACCTGCAGATGGGGGTCCAGGGTGAGTGTGCATATGTATGTGTGTCTCTGTGTCTGTGAGTGTTCAGGGCGAAGTGCACGTTTAGGAAAATGACACGTTTGGGGGTTTATGTGTGTGTGACATTTATCTTTGACAGAAAAGGAAAACTAAAGATGGGTTACAGGTTGAAAACAGATGAAGCATTACCTCCAAAGTCCGGCCGCAAACGAATGTCATATCCTTTGAGCAATCTGTCCACTGTCTCTTTCACGTATGACATGTTGCTGGGCTCATTGGAGCTGAAGGGAAGAAGTAGGGACTGGATTCAGAATCAGCACAAACTGCCAGAAGACACAAAAACCGACAAGCACACCTACCCCCAAATAACAAGATACATGACCCAGCAGGCATGTCAAAATAAACACACCAAGGGGAAAAGAAAAGAAAAAGACATTCAACAACAGCATCAGAAGCTCACCTGTGTGCACAACAGACCATGGCAATCATCACAGGGAAAGAGAGAAGCCCCAAACTCTCTCGGTTTTGTACTGTCCACATTACTAACTCTGATTAAAGAATTGTCTTTTCTGCGAAGATTCAAGGAATGCAACTTAGTCGGCGGCAGGGCAGTAATTCCCGAATGGACCTGCGCATGCGCACAGAGTGATCACTACCAAAAGACACCTTGTGCCTTGCAAACAATATTCCTAGTGAAACAGGCAACAGATTTCAATGCCTTCAAAGTTCCTGTTTGGCGCACTCCACGTCCCCGAGGCGATCGGAGACAACCTGCTGTTTCTACGCACGGGACCCTACGTGCATGTGCTGACAGAGCTTCCTTTTGGTGGAGGTTGCTATGTTCGTTTCCTTTCTGCCCGCAACCTGATTGGGGGGGCGGGGAGGGGGGCACAAAAAACCTCGGTTCCCAAAGATCTGGCAAAGACTGCCTGCTATTGGCATCTTTTGTTGACAGTCACGGTGGTCCTAAGAATAGGGAATCTGGAGGCGGGCGGTTCTCTGATCGCCAGTGGGGTGGGGGGTAGGGAAGGAAGCTGGGGACTGATGAAAACCTAACAAGAAAATGGGAAGGGGCAGAGGAAACCCAAGACGTATCTGGGAACTCCAAGAATCAGGTCCACGTGGGAGGTGTCTAGGACATCTGGCTTACTGTTCTCTGCAGGAAAAGGAGGAGGAGGGGCAGGCCAACTTGTCCACTCATTCCCCCACCATCCTTTCCTCCTCTTCTTTCCTCTTTGCTGTGAGTGGAGCAAGTGATGAAGCAGCAGCTTTGAGTGGGCACTTGTTTGCTATGACCCCCCAATGCAAGCTTCACTTATGTTAAATGCATCCCTTTCAATTCAACTGATAATATTGAGCATATGCAAAGAGTAGTCTCTGGACTAGCAGTTTGTTCATTTGTTTAATAGCATGTATTTAAATCTTTACTATGTTCTAAGTATTATGAGACTTAGACTCCTTGACCTGGAGAAATTAGCAGACTCATCAAGGAGGTGGAAACAAACCCTAGTAAATTCCATGTAACTTTGGATAGTTAATACAGCAACAGGAAGGTTGACATTTCTACCAAGGACAGGTAGAGGCAGTTTCCAGAAGAGGCAAACCTTAAGACAGCAGAAACTTTTTTGCCAAAGGAGGTAGGAAAGAGGGACCAGCATGTGTCAAATTCTAGAGACTTTTAAATTTACAGTCTACTTGGGTAACTGCATCCAGAAAAGATTAATTAAATGATGAAGTGAGGGAGGTAGGAATGATGGGTAATTAAGGTACTAAAGAGAAGTCATGGACAGATTACAAAGAGATTTACATACTCTACTATGTAGAGTTGGACTTCTAGGAATGACTGAAAGCTTTAAGTAAAAGTGGTCAACATCAGATTTAGGCTTTAGACAGAACATTCAGGTAGACTAATCATAAGATTATTGAAATAAGAATAATGTTATAAAAATAAGAATGATGTTACTTGCCATCCAATTTGTGGCAAGCACTGCCTGGTCCTGTGCTGTCCTCCCAACTGTTGATGTGTTTGAATCCGATGTTGCAAAAGTGATAAAAATAACAAATATTTATTATTGGCTGACTATGGAGTCAGTCCTGGTGTAGCACTGTGGGTTAATACGCTGGACTTCAAACAAAAATACTCAAAGTCAGTTTGAATCACAAAGTCAGAGGTTCAAGCTCATCAGCCACTCCTCTGAAACCCTACACAGACAGGGTCGCTATGGATTGAAACCGACCCGGCAGCACTTAACAGCAGGCAATTCATATTTTATACAGATTATATCTTTATTATTACTATCTTAATTTTAGAGATAAGAATGCTAAAATCAAATTAGGGTTATATGAAGAAGGGGTATTCCAAAACACTTAATTGTACTCACGAGGATCCTGTGCATAGACCAAGAAGCACTCGTTGGAATAGAACAAGGGGACACTGAATGCTTTAAATTTAGGAGAGGTGTGTGTCAGGGCTGTATCCTTGCACCATATTTATTCACTCTGTATGCTGAGCAAATAATCTAAGAAGATGAATGATATGAAGAAGAACATGGCATCAGAATTGGAGGAAGACTCATTAATAACTTATCATATAAAGATGACACAACCTTGATGGTTGGAAAGGACGAGGACTTAAAATACTTACTGATGAAGATCAAAGACAATCACGTTTGGTGTAGATTGCTCCTCAATGTAAAGAAAACAAAAATACTCACTGCTGGACTAATAAATAACATCATGACAAATGGAGAAAAGATTGAAGTTGTCAAAGACTTCATTTTGCTTGGATCCACAATCAACACTCATGGAAGCAGCAGTCAAGAAATCAAATAATGTATTGCATTAGGCAAATCTGATGCACATGACCTCTTTAAAGTGTTTAAAAGCAAAGTTACCGGTTTGAGGACTAAGGTACACCTGACCCAAACCATGATATTTTCAAAGTGTAGTGGATTACAAGCTGGCCTGTTAACCACAAGATAAACAGTTCAAATCTACCAACTGTTTGATGGGAGAAAGATGAGGCACTTGGTTCCCATAAGTATTTACAGCTTTGGAAATCCTATGCAGGGTCCCTATGAGACGGAATTTACTCAAAGGCATATATGGTAGCACAGTGGTTATGAATCGGGCTGCTATCCTAGGGTCAGCAGTTCAAAATTACCAACTGCTCTGTGGGAAAAAGATGAGGCTTTCTGCTCCCATAACAGCCTCGGAAACCCTGTACTGGGTAGCTATGAGTCAGAACCGACCAATTCCACGGCACATAACAACAACAACAATAATGCTGTGGGTTAATGTGCCAGACTGCAAAGCCATTTGAACTGCAAGGATGGCAGTTCAAGCTCACCAGCTACTCCTCGGAAACCCTACATAGGGTCACTATGGATCAGAATTGACTGGACGGCACTTAACAACAACAATGCAGTTCTTCTATGGTCTGCCTTATACATTGTCCAAATTTGAAACTTAAACAATGAGTAAGGCAGGCTGTAGAAGAATTTATGCATTAGAATTATGGTGTTGGGAAATAATATTAAAAGTACCATGGACTACCAAAGAAACAAACAGATCTGTGTTGAAAGAAGTACAGCCTGAATGCTCCTTAGAAGACATAAGGTTAAAATGAATCAGAATTGACCTCTATAGCATGTAACAACAATTAGTTTAAGATCACAGAGTTTATAATTGGTAAAACTAGCATTTCAAGCCAGAATCTGACAACCCTTCCTCAAAGGTATTTAGCATAGATCCTGAGGGTAGGATAAAGTGCAAAACAAAAGGGTTGTTACAGTAATTTAGGCAAAAGGAAGTGCTTTGTTTGGAGTGGGGATGATGCACTAGAGCAAGGTTTTAGAAGTTTACTGGAGTTATCAGGTAGAAGAGTTTGGAGATGGTAAATTTTAGAAGGTACCTATCAGACACTGTGCCAAAAGCTAAATTGTCCATTTATCCATATCTAACTGCTATGCCTTCTGGTGTGGTGCTATAGTGTCAGCACCTGACTGTGATACACAACATAAGCAGTTCAAACTCAACAGTTGCTCCTCAGAAACACTATATAGGGTCGCTATTAGTCATCAAGGACTTCATTCTTCTTGGATCAACTATCAACACTCGCAGAAGCAGCAGTCAAGAGATCAGATGACGTATTGCATTGGGCATATTTGCTGCACAGGAACTTTTTAAAGTATTGAAGAGCAGAGATGTCAGCTTGAGGACTAAGGTGCGCCTGACCCAGGCCATGGTGTTTTCAATAGCCTCATATGGATGAGAAAGCTGGACAGTGAATAAGGAAGATCATAGAAGAATTGATGCCTTTGAGTTGTGGTGTTGGAGGAGAATACTGAAAGTGCCATGGACTGCCAAAAGAACCAATAGATCTGTTTTGTAAGAAGTGCAGCCAGAGTGCTCCTTGGAGGCCAGGAAGGCTAAGCTTCGTCTCTCATACTTTGGACATATTGTCCGGAGGAAATAGTCGCTGGAGAAGGATGTCATGCTGGGTAAGGTGGAGGGTCAGAGAAAAAGAGAAAGACCCCTAATGTGATGGATTGGCCAGGTGGCATCATTGATGGACTCAAGTGTGGCAACGGTAGTGAGGTTGGCCCAGGATCGGACATTATTTCGTTCTGCTGTGCATGGGGTCACTATGAGTCAGTTCTGACTCGATGGCACCTGACAACAACAACAACATTAGTCGGAACAAACTCAAGAACACTTAACAACAACAAACTGCTGTGCCAGGGTGGTGCTGTAGGATAAAACACTGGATCACAAGGTCACTTTGAACTGCAAGGTCAGCAGGTCAAACCTGCCAGCCACTCCTTGAAAACTCTATATAGGATAGCTATGAATTGAAACTAACTTGATGGCACTTAACAATAAGAACTGTTATGCAGTGAATTATTTAGTGCCTCTTCTAGCCATAATTTTTGTAAATTCTCACCAAGCAACAATTTTTGCATGATGGGTTTGGGTAAGAGAATGTGTAAGAAGATGCTGACAGGATTATGATTCCATTTTGAATGGTAAACAGGGTTATCTGTGATTGTAAAACCTGAAACTCTAGCATGTTTAAAATGAGTCATCTCAGAAGCAGGAGGTAGAGATGGTGGATCGCATTGTCATAAAAAATCAAGGAATAGAGCATACCTAAGATCCCCGGTGTAGCTCTGTAGGATAAGCACTTGACCTCAAGGTCAGTTTGAACTGCAAGGTTGGAAGCAGCTGCTCCTCAGAAACCCTATACAAGGTCAGTATGAGTCAAAACTGGCTCAGAAAAACTTAACACCAACAAAATCCTAGCATATTGTGCCTCTTCATCCCAGGGACAGAGAGCTGTGCACCGGAAAAGTAGCAAAGGAGCAGCAGCAGAACCGATAGAGCACAAGGCATAACGGTGGGCTTCCAAGGCTATGGAGCAAGCAAAGCTAAGTGCCTTTGGATTGGGAATTTCTTGCAGATTGGGATGCCTCCTCTCTTAATTGGGAAATCTAAGTATGCTGATCCAAGTTCCTTCAGGCTGAAGCTTATTTTGGAGTGTCACGTCCTATTGGTATTAATCAGCAGCCCTAAAAAAGCCACTCCTCAGAAACCTTCTACAGGGTCATTACTCTGAGTCAGAACCCACTCAATGACTCTTAGCAACAACCAAATGAGCTTTACCACACTGCTGAAGCAGGACAGAGGCCAGGTCATGGACAAAGGGTCTAAGAGAGGTCTGCCTACTGGCAGAGCAGAGGAAAGACTATCCTGATTGGAAGAACTGTGTCCTGAACATTTATGACCTTGAATTGTAACCTATTAACTTCCCTAGTAAATCCCATAACTGTGAGTATGGTGTGTGAGTTCCGTGTGACCAATACATTGAA